GTTTAGGGTTTAGGGTTTAGGGTTTAGGGTTTAAGGTTTAGGTATATGGGTAGTTCTCTAAACTAGGGTCCCTTTTAGGGTCCTTTTTATAAGGGTGCCGTACTATATTGGGGATCCAAAAAGGGACCCTAACTTAGAGAACTGCCCATTTGCAGACTGGATTTTGTGTTGTACTTTTGCGAAGTTGCCCTGAGCCAGGCATTCCTGTGCTCCTTGAAGCTCGACAGGTATGTCAGCCTCTTTATGGACTGCAGCTCTTATGCATGGTCTGCATGCTCTGTCGTAAGCGCTGCACGCAACATCGCACGTTTGCAGAGAAGTCATGTTGCTATACACTTGCAGCTGCGGAGTGCTCAGCAGGTATTGCTCTGAAGAGCAATGGGTCAAGCGTTGCAGGCATGCACTCCTGGTTGCGGGAACTGCGGCTGCTGCAGCGACTTAGGGGATGCCATCTCGCGGATGTACAGAGCGCGAAGGGAACCTCGGCCTCGCACGCTGCAGCTTTCCAAGTCCTCCCGCTGGAGGAAGCTGCGTGCGATGGTGCGGTCCACACGTGCCCTTGAGTCGCTCTTGGAGAATGTGCGCTGCAAGAAGATAGAGGAACTCTATGAAACGGACTGGAGTGAAACCCCCACACCGGATCGGTCCCCGTCCGTTCAGTGGCGAGTGGTGCAGAAAGTGTCGCGATCGCTCTCTGTGCTGGATGGCCTCTTGAATGAGGTTCGCTGCAAGCAAACAGAGCAGCTCTATGACTCCGATTGGAACACAGCATGCAGTGAGGATGATTGCGAGACTTGTGAGTCGTTGTAGGACGACAGCCATCTTCTTGCGTGCAAATCGGGTCGGTGGCTTAAGCCGTGCAAGCTGCCGTGTGATGCAGATCCACGTTAAAGAAGTTGCAGCGACCAGCACATTGCCAAAAGGCTCAAGACAGATTTGTTCGATATGTCCTTCTGGGGTCTGACGAGTGGTTGTTTGGTTGAAGACCGAAGCCAACCATGATCATGTACTCTACTTGTGCGTTGTACAGGGCCAGAGTGCCATGTAAAGCTTTTCAGCAGGTGAACAGACCCGGAGAGAAACAAAACACACAGGAAGAATACCCCTAAGGACTACACAGCATCATGTCTGTTCACCTCCCCATAGCTTGCTTAGCCAAGAGGTTTGAAGCCTGAAAACATCACGTGACCAATTGGGCACGGTACCCGGTGAGCCGGGTACACTTTCCTTGTGACGAAATTCGACTGCATGTCTGCAGGATGACTTTCATGAAGGTTTTTTTTGCATCCTCGGTAGAACCGACTTGCGTCAGAACCTTTAGGCTCGATGTCTGCGTGGTTGCAGCTCTGAAAATTATACTGCAGTATGTTGTATTACATCATATCTAGTTTACTATATCGTATAACATAATCGTAGATTCTGCTGTAGTATATTTAGCATCTACTATTAGATGACTCTCTACAAAGGTGGATTACACGCAGGCCTCAGAGCCCGAGGATTGCTGCTTTTCCGAGAGGCGGCTCTTGCTTGGTGCAGGTTGGCGGAACGGCAAGTGCACACGTTTGAAGAGAAAGCTGAAAACCGTCTGCCCTCCGAGCTCTACTTAGAGGCCCAGGGGACTTAGTAAGTCGGTTATAAGTAGGGTTATAACTGGGGTAACTCCATTTAGGGTAATTATAACTCTACTTATAACCTACTTACTAGGGCCTCTAAGTACCGTTTGATTCAGCGGTTTGAAACCCTGAAGCATGGTCTAATCATTCAGGCCCCTTCTGCAACGGAGACCCTGAACAATTGCCCTGGGAAGCATCCCGCACATGCATGGCGGGCAGGAGCACGGCTTCGATTGCATGGACGTGGTCAAGGAAATGCAGGCCTGTGTCCAACGCGGTTGAGCTAGCAGCTAAAGATGCTAAAGGATAGGCGCGGAAATACAGTCAGATATGTAACTAAATAAAGAAATTATATATATATATATATATATATATATGTGTGTGTGTGTGTGTGTGTGCGGGTATTTGTTCGCATTCGCTCTGCGCTGACAATCTATGGGCACAACTGTGTGTCCGTCGGTCTGCATGTGTGCGTTTGTGTGAAGGAATCAATATGCAAGATTAATATAGGGGCCTGAATAATTGCGCATACTATTTTGGGGCTTCCTTATGATAATTACAGTGTAGTAGACCCCAAAACCCTATTAAGGCCCCTACATTCTGCAAGTAGCATCTTTTCCAAGCGTATGAGCCCATCTTGAGAGCCCCAGAGCCTGCAGCTGCTTGAGACCCAGAGACTCCAAAACCCCTTAATTAAGGAATATACCTTAAATCATATTAGGGATCCTATTGTAATTTAAGGTATATTCCTTAACTAAGGGGTTTTGGAGTCTCTTGAGAGCCCAGGAGCAGCACATGCAGCAGGTGGGCATGGCTGCCGGGCACATCCTGAAGTTGAGGAGCTCGTGGCTTCAGAGCTTCGATTTAGGGTTTAGGGTTTAGGGTTTAGGGCTTAGTGTCTAGGGTTTAGGGTTTAGGGTCTAGGGTTTAGGGTTTAGGGTTTAGGAGACTTGCGTCCGCTGCTGGCGTTTCAGTGTCCAGGAAGCGCCTGTCTGAAATGGCTCCCTCCAGAAGCACCCCGGAAGGCCCAGCTTCCGAATTTAGCCTTCGGGGTTCCTTATTATAAATATAGTACAATGGGCCCTGCATTTCATATAGGGGCCTTAATAATAGTTGCCTAATATATATATATATATATATAGGAGACTCCTCCTCCGTTCTTTCCTCGCTCCCCATGGTCAGGCAGGAAGTCGAGCACGTCAGGCCGACGCGTCTCCTTCGGAGCTGCGGAGGCCCAAGTGCCGAGCTCCGCCGCTTCGTTTAGGGTTTAGGGTTTAGGGTTTAGGGTCTGCGAGTGCAGGTTGAGGCGCAGCTGCCTGTGCCCAGCCAGAAGGCCGCAGAAGAAGCAGGTTCCGGAGCTGTTGCTCTAAGGACTTTAGGAGGGACCCCTAATCGGGACCCTTAATCCCAGTACCTTAAATAACCATTGTGGTCCCTCCTAAAGCCCTTAGAACTGCCCTCGCAAGTAGCAAGTGTTCCTCAGCTCACATGTATTTCGGCGTATGCTTCATCTCTACTAGCAGTGATTCGGCTTCTGGGTTGTCCCGCGGCTGCAAGGCGTAAGTCCCATACTCTAAACCCCCAAGCTGCCCTAAGTGAACCATGGTACGCTTGGCAGGAGACTCCTCGAATCTGCTGGTGGGAACCTTTGATGAGGAGGCCGTCCTTTCCAGCCGTGTTTCCCTAGACCCTAAACCCTGTTCAGGGATGACGGAGCAGCAGGAGGCTCGTCAGGTGGTACTTCCTCTACGCGGCTGTTGCCCTAAACCCTAAGCCGGAACCCGAAACGCTACGCACAAAGCCGTTAACTTCGGGATTCCCGCGGGAGGACACGAGGCGACCATGAAAAAACCTAAGCCTTAAGCCCAGGAGCCTACTAAAATCCTGATCGCTAAGCCTTCAATCCCAAACCTTTGACCGAACCCAGAACCTCAAGCCGCTTAGTAAGAGTATCCAGTATCTCCATGTAGTCCCTATGTCAGGATGGTGTTTTAAGCCCCAACGCCGTAAACCCTAGTCCGCTTATTCTGTTAATTCTACCCCAGGAGTCCGCCGCAAGCTTCCAGGAAGCTTTGCGGGCTTGGCGGGGAGGCGCCGGGATTTAGCTCATAAGCTGGGGTTACTTGTGACTTAGAAGAGCTTTAAGGAGTTCAGGGCTGGCAGGGTTATGGGGCTTCGGGTGTAGGGCTCAGTGGTTGACGGTTTAGACTATTAGACTTTAGTGTTTTCAGACGGCTACGGCCTCGACCAGGCCTTTCAGAGCTTGCAGAGTGGGAGAGGTCCTTCTTGGATGTGTTGGCCCTTTGATTGAGTGGGCTGAGAGGCTCAGGAAATTAGGGGTACCTTATTTTGGGGGTCCTTATAATAAGGATCCTACTATTTAGGGTACTATATTAGGGTCCCCTATTTTCGGAAACCCCCGTTTCGAGTTGGCAAGGGCTCAACCAATCGTCGCCTAGCTGACGTGTGGGGAAGCAGGTGGAGATCCTTCTCCAGCCGCGGTGCAGGAACCGAGTGCAGCCCCCAAGGCGGGCGGCAGAAACGGACCAACGTTGTTGAGACTAAACCCTAAACCCTAAACCCTGAACCCTGAACCCTAAACCCTAAACCCTAAACTCCACAACTAAACCCTAAACCCTAAACCCGGCTCGACCCGTCAAACCCGAACCCAAGCTCCCAATCGCTGCTGTGAGGCCGTCGGGTCCTTCTGGTCCAGTCTGGGTGACAGCGACGTGAACCTTGAGCGCCCGGCACCATGTTCCACAGCACCTTTGTAACTTGTAGTACCCTCATAGTAATTAGTAATCCTCATGGTGCTATTTTTGTAGTACTGTGGTAGTGCCCTGATTGTGCCTTGACCCTTTGTACTCTTACAGTCTCCCGTGTTGCACCGGATCCCTGGAGTTCCGTGGAATCCTCGGAGCATCGCCGTACTCAGGGGCCAGCACTCCGCTGAAGCCACCGGCGGAGACCATCTCGACCGAGACGTGCTGCGAGCTGTTTTTTGCGGTTAAGTCTAGGCGCTCCTGTAAGGGTTCCTATGAGGTTACACTAAGGTTCCGTTAAGATCCATAAGGGTTCCCTGAAAGGGCTTCAAAGTGTTCAGGGTTTCGGGTTTCCAGGGACTGGGTATGATTCGGTATGATTCATACAATCACTAGCAACAGCCATGCAGCAAACATGGGGATACTAGCAATTGCAATGGTAGTCTCAGCAGATAAGAACAACAACAAGGGCGCAAACAGCAGGCATTGTTTGGGCAATTTGCCAGTTCGCCATCCCCTTTTCTTCCAACTGACACTTAGCAAAAGACTTATTGGAACAAATGGATACCTTAAGCGGAACCACCCAAGCCCCAACACCTCAAACACCAAAAGCATTAAATTCAACTTCTAAAACCCTGAAGTCTTGTCCTAAACCCTAAACGCTAAACCCCAAATCCATAAACCCTAAACTCCTAGAAGCTAAATCCTTGTAGTGTCTTTCCTCAGCCCTCTTGCCAGGCAAGGCAGCGCATCACCGAACGAAGAGAAGCTTTGCTGTTACCAGCTTCATCCTCGGCTTAGTTTTAGGGTTCAGGTTTGGGGTCTAGGGTTTAGGACTGTAGAGTTTACTTTGGGGTTTAGGGTTTCAGGGCGAAGGCCTTCAGGGTGTATTGTAGGTTTAGAGAGCGCGAGAGAGAGAGAGAGAGAGAGAGTCAAATCGTGACTAAACCCTAGACCCTAAACCCTAAACCCAAGGTCGGGTTGTAAAGTCAGCAGATTCTGGCCAGACACTTCTAACAGATCTTGGTTGAGTTCCGCCAGGCTGGAAACCTTTTCCAAAAGGTCTAGATTCAGGGTGGCCGAATTGTGTTATTCCGTTACAGTCTCTACGCAGTTATGGTATAAGTGACCCCAAAAGCCTATTCTAAGTCTCAAGGCCTCTAGATTATGCAAATTTGTGGTAAACCGCAGACTCCTCGAACACGCTGGCTTCTGTGACTTGCAGAAGCGCCCTCACGCAACAGCTAGCAGCTTGGAGCCAGCTCTATCCTCATGCCCGTAGTGTATAATACCAAGAATCCTAGAACACCATTCCCTAGTTTGCACCCTAAGCCCTTCATGATGATGATGACGACGATAACCATACTGATGATGATGGTGATGATGACGATGATGATAACGATGATGACCATCTCATCATCATCATCATCATCATCATCATCATCACTATCATCATCACTATCATCATCACTGTCATCATCACTGTCATCATCACTATCATCATCACTATCATCATCACTATCATCATCATCATCATCATCATCATCATAATCACCGCTTCGCCGGGCCTGAAACCTGGCGGCCGCTTCCCAGCTCGAGCTGATGAGGTGCTTCAAGCAGTTCTATGCTCGGCAGAGCCGTCACGCTTGGGGTTCAGCGGCTTTTGCACATCCGCAATGAAGGTACTCGCAGGGCTTGCTAAAGCCAGCGGAGGGCTTCTTGCACTGTTGACGCAGCTCTGCTTCTGGAATCCTGGGGTAGTATGTTCGACATTGGGGGAATTTGGCAGAGGGAATTCCGATTCCATGTTCGTGAGGATGCTTGGAATGTCCTTCTCTGGAGCCTGCACGTCGGGAAGTCCTTGAACTCTCAACCTCAAGCCCTGAACCCTCACCTAAGACTGAAATCCTAAACCCAGTGAGCCTTGCAAGTCTAGAGCATCCCTTGCAGGTATGCCGTGGAAAGAGAGGTCCCGCCGGAATTCGGGGGCGGTTGCAAGCGGCTGTGCTCTGAGGCAGCGACCATTATCTCTGTCATTTGTAATAACGACTATCATCGTCACCATTCTGATTACGACTATCATCCGTTCTGGTTGAGGTGGGGCATGGTGCGATCCTGATGTCGACATTTGAAGGTTCACGGGTAGTTCGAAGACGGGTTATAAGTATTGGTAGGCATAGCCCGATATCGGGGCAATCCCAAATGAGGTGCATAACCATCTGGCAGGAAGTGAAATTTCAAGGTGCAATCCTTGGAGGCACCAGGTTTGGTGATCATCAACGATTGTAGAAAACTCGACTGATACACGCTTCTTCTGCACCACTTACATACACAGACACGCAATGCACAGGCTTGAGAACATTTGGGGGCATCCCGTTTGAACCATCTAGCAATTCTAGCCATTACAGGCTTGGATTAGGCTCATTGCCTTCTGAAGCTCCAAGAGCAGTCGCATGTCCAAGATAAAGAACAGTTTGCGGAAGAGGTGTGCCAATGTGGTTGGGGGAGGAGGAGTGGTCTCTCGCCCTTTTGTGTTCAACCTCCGACACGTTCCCGCCGTGTCCAAGCCGAGCCTTGAACTTGAACTGTATCGATACTCCCAGGAAAGGTGATACGAGTGGTCGTTGTAATGAGAATAGGCGTAGGAATAAGGCTAGCAATGCAATTGTTAAAATGTTGTGAACGAAGCTCCAATGGAGCAGCCCTCCTGCCCTAAACCCGAAAACCCTTTACCCTGTCTAAGCTCTGAGCCCTAAACCCCTGGCTCTAAAGCCTAAACCCTAAACCCCCAAACCCCTAAATTAGAGGCCTGTGCGGAAGCTTGGGCTGAAGCCATGCGAGCGAAGGTGGAGGCGAAGCACCCTGGTGACCGGTTTGAGGTCTTTCGGGTTTAGGCTTTTAGGGTCTTAGGGTGTAAGGGCCTTAGAGTTTAGGGCTTAAAGTTCAAAGTTGGAGGTTCTAAGAGACTTGGGCTTCGGGGCTGCTAGGGGTCAGGTTTTGCAGCTTCTTGGGTCTGTCCTGTTCCGGTGGTGGCATGTAAGGTTGCCTTTTGCAGACCTCTTAAAGCCCAGCACCAAGGTTTCGTGGAATCCCCACGGTTAATGATCAATCCTGCGTTACGCCCAATAAGGAATATACCATAATTCCCATAGTTTAGGGTCCTTAAGGTAGTGCAGGCTTTATATCATCAACAGTAGTGTTATCTTTGAAGAGAGCCACAAAGTGCCTAACAAGCCCTGGAGAGTTGCCGAGCTGAATCGCTGCGACGCCACTGGTAGAACCTGGACCTTGAGCCTTAAACCCTAAACCCTAAACCCTAAACCCGAAACCGTAAACCCCCAAACGTTGAACCTCAAACCCTGAACCCTAAACCCGAAGCCCGACACCTGAGCCCCAAAACATCAAACCCGAAAGCAAACCCTAATAGAGGGGCCTTAATAATTACCTAGACTTTTTTTTTTTTGGGGGGGGGTTCCTTATGAGAATTATGGTATAATGGGCCCCAAAACCCTTCTAAACATTAAACCATGGACCCTAAAGCATAAGTTTGTGCCGTCCACAGGACTGGGGAGTGACGCAAAGCGGCTCCAAGTCGCGTTTGGCTAATCCTCTGTATAATGTTGCGAATAGTACGACAGGTAGTCCCTATCTTTATTTAATGGTATCCATCGTGCTATAGGTTTCCCCCCAAATCTTATCCCCCCAAATCCAGGTCAAACTATTAGGCCCTACACTCTACACTAAACCCTTCCAGAAGCCTTGAATGGCCCGAATGGAACCCATTACGAGGCCGTCCGGCAGCGCCAGACAAAGCTGGAGCAGATTTGGGCAGCCTGGCAGAAGAAGTCGGGACAGGTGTCCAAACTTAGAGGGTTCAGGGTTTAGGGTTTACACACCCCTTTTTGGATGAGTTCGACGAAAAGGAGCATACTGCTGCGGCCACTGTGGCGGAGCTAGATGTCCTGGAACAGTGACTTGCTATTCTGATGGCACCGACAATGACTTGGAAGGTCTTGCCTATGACTTCCATGGTTTTTCAGTATCATTGCAGGTTATATGATGATCTTGTCGTTGATGATGCTGCCCGTAGCTTCATTCGGTATTGCCATCGCTATTGTCAGTATCATTGCTATCGGCAAGCTCATGCTTTGGGTTGTATCTTCCAAAACCCCAAACCCCAAGCCTTAATCCCTAATCCCGGAAACCCCTAACCCTAAACCCTAAACCCTAAAACTCTCCCAACCCCCCTAAGCCCATGATTCACGACACCCTAAACCCGAACCCCCGAACCCCAGCAGCTAGAAGCTTCAGAGAGGCCCTACATCCCCCGAAAACCCCTGAAGAGCTCATCCTTAAACCCTAAACCCTAAACCCTAAACCCTAAACCTTAAACCCTAAACCCTAAACCCTAAACCCTAAACCCAAAAGCCCTGAACCCTGGCGTGAGGAGATGGAGCGGGCGATGGAAGCAGGGGAGACAGGAGAGGCCAAGGTGACGGAGGCCTCGGGTTCTTGGGGGTTTCGCGTAGGGTTTAGGGTTTAGGGTTTAGGGTTAGGGTTTAGGGTTTCGGGTTCTTGGGGGTTTTAGGGTTTAGGGTTTAGGGTTTAGGGACGTAGGGGCCTCAAGAAGTACCTATACTATTTTGGGGGGTTCGTTACTAGAATTGTAGTATACTGGGTCCTCAAAAGCCTTATTCTAATTATTTAGGCCCCTACATTAGGGCTTAGGGCTTAGGGCGATGTGGGGTGGGGGGTCGGTGGAGGTCGAGGGCTTGGGTTCGGGTGTTAAGGGTCTAGGGCCAGTTTAAGGTGTTCGGGTGACCCTAAATCCTGAATCCCTTCTCTGCCATGAGAGCGAAGAAGGATGTGGGGGTTTCCGAAAATAGGGGACCCTAATATAGTACCCTAAATAGTAGGATCCTTATTATAAGGACCCCAAAATAGGGTACCCTAATTATCGGAAACGCCCATGTTGTGCGGGCTCTGCAGGATGTCGCTTCTGCTGAAGATGCCGCGAGCTAGGTTCGAGAATCGGGTCCGGTTTCGGAGGCGATTCGGATTCATCGGGCTTGAGGTCTGAGACTGCTTGGAGGTTCATGGGTAGTTATAAGTAGGGTTATAAGTCCCCTAATATGGGTTATAATTATAGTTACCCTACTTATAACCCCACTTATAACTACCCATGAACCTCCAAGTGGGGGTGCGCAGTA